CCAACCCGGTACTAACAAGGTGTACCTAATAAAGTGGCCGGTGAGTGTATATTATTGGGTTTATTCAGAGGTGTATAAAATACTTGGAAAAAAATAGTTTTTACAAGTTATGTCAACTACTGTTTTGTGGAACTGGTTGAAATAACTGTTAAGCAACTTCAACAATTCATGTCTTAGAGTGCATAAGCAACTCATTTCGTGATGAGCTCTGGTCATATTTAAATTTGTGGCAATGTTACAAGGTGTTAAATTTGACAGTAAATGAGCTAAAATATCATTTTTTTATGCTTTGTAACAAAATAAAAGTAAAAGTTGCAAACTGTAACAAAGTAAATGTACTGTTACACCTCTGGGTTTATTACASCTCATAGTTGGACGAACATAATCAACGGAATGTCTAGTCATGGTTAGAAGTAAACAAGTTGTACATTAACTAATTTAGGTATTTCTCAAATACTTTTAGCAGCTCAGGTGACCGGGGGAAAGGAAAACCTACAGCATTTAGAACTGAATCCACAATCATTTAAAATCTTGGGATGTTTGGATGTCTCACAATAAATCTCTTCATATTCACTGAGGCATCATGTGTCTTCCTCCTGCAAAGTCAGCACCTCACTTCTCATCCATCCACGTCAAAGTGTCCTTGGAACAGGCAATGAACCCCACATTACCCCCAATATGCCCATCAATGCGTGACTGTATAGGAGAAATTTGCTGCTTAAAGGAGCATAAATGTATGAGAGCACAGTAACTGTTAGTTACTGAGAGCAGGCACAACATWCAATTTTGTAAAATCTTTGAAAAATAATAAGACTGAATGAATGCAGACCATCTTTAAAACAGCCAATCTGTCAACTCGTCATTGTCTGTCAGAGCAGATAATCTACTGAATGAATTTTAGCATTAAGGCTRAAAAAGTCACAACTTTTTTTTTCAAATTGTTCATTTCTTGCAGCACCTTTTCCTCCTTTAAGCTCATCCCTCCCTCCGTAAACAGAGAAGCGGTGTCAGGCGGCAATCAATTCAAGGGCAWGTCCTCAGGCAGCCTCACAATGGCGACGGCTGCGACCCACTGCAGAGATCGGCTTCAAGAATGGCCACTAACAGGAGGTCTTTAAAAATAAACCATGCCTGACTAACCCAAACAGCAAGAAAAGAGGAGCGTTCACACCCACACAAAGAAATTGCCTGCACCAAATTGGTTGTGATCTCAAGAAACAAAATGTCAGGCTTTCATCATGAATTCTTTTTATTGASCGTTATTTAGAACAAATTAATGGTTACACTGAAATCTAAACATAAAAACAAATGTATGAGTCAGCTGCTCGTGCAAAAATGTATTTTCACAAAAAGAAAAGGAGGTAAAATAGACAGCTCACAGTGCAGATGACACAACAAAAACATTTCAAASATTTAAAGAAAGAAAACCAAGTGAGGAAAACAACTAAACACCAGTGTCATTATRTGATCATAAATGAGTCAGATGAGCTTTCTATACAGAAAAACAACAGCAGTACAATGTGCCAAAGGCTTGAAAACAATTCCTTTTGAAACTACCATATTCACAGCAGAAGCTTGCACATAAAAAAATGACCAGCTCTTGTTTTCTCCCTGCCCCAGCCCTGCTTTCTGAAACTACTACACATCAGTTACAATCATAAGTCATCCATGCAAAAAGCTATAAAACACCATAAAGTGTGTTTCAAGTTGCTCACTTTGCCCCAATTTGTCCCTCTTGATATTATTTGGGGTTTCACATGCTCTAAAGTTACACTGTTCCTCACTTGCCACCTCCTACTTCTCTTCTGTGTCCTGAAATGAACTTTCAGTCTGCAGTGCAWACCAAAACAGTGCGTTTCCAGACATGCCGCTTACTTTTCTTTGCCCATTTCAGGCTAAAAAAAAAGCCATATCCTAATTTTAGCCAAAACACTGTACCACTAAATACCATAGCATCTCCTATATTTTACATTAGCCTCATAATAAATAGTTTTAAAGACTTTGTATAGCTTCACAACACCATAAGCAAACAACCTCTAACCGTTTACATCAATACGCTTCCAAATGCTTCAAAATACACAAAACACAGAACAGTTACAGGAAGACATTCAGGATGAAACGCTGACACATTTACATACATATCTACATATCGGTGTGTTCTGATGCAAACTATTATGTACACACACAGATGAAATTAATCAGAACACAGGCCCTTTAATGTCTTTATGAATGAGAACCATGTCTCCTCCTCTCTATATATTTATTAATATTACACAGTGGTATTTGTGTCAAGAGACYCCATCAAAATAATTCTACTCTAAAATAGTCCATCTGTTTACAGGGATTATTTATTGTTATGAATCCTTTTACTATACACATTTATTAAAATAAATGCTTTCTGGTATTGCACTGTACTTTTACCGAAACAAAGACTTTGACTTCAAGGGTTAGTTCAGAGTTTTTGAAGTGGAGTTCTGTGGTAAAGGTTATGAGCAATATAAAATTTAACTGTTGTAGATTTTTTTGAGTGATGTCAGTTTGGAGAAACAGAGTTTAATTATTAGCAGATTTATGAGGTAATGACTAGTCTGTGCAGAACCAAGACCAAAGTAATTTACTGCCATTTTACAATGACTGAAATGTAAAAACTTTATGGCAGATAAAACTTCCGTTTTGCATTACACAATCATTACGGCAGACATTTTACATTTTCTACAGGAAGTGAAATGCAAAAAAAATGTTTTAAATCACCAGGCTGCAGCAGAAGAGCTACAGCTAGCTGCTGTTGTTGCTATTTGTGCTTGCAGACAACTATAAAATTTTGTTCAATTAACCATTTAATGTGAAAATAACTGTTGTCGTTGTTGTGCTGGCACAAACTGCTATGAAATCTTTACAGATCTGAGTTATTTTAAGACAACGCTTTGATCTTGGCTCCACTCAGACGACCCATTATCTTGTCAATCAGTCAGCAAAACACAGTTTCTACAACCTGAGGCCATTCAGTGATTTATAACAGGTATAAATTATTTGTTTATAACCTTTTTGWATAATACTACTTTAAAAGATCTGAACTATCACTTTTATCAAACAATATGTATGTATGGAATATTCACGTTTTTACTAAAGAAAAAAAAAACAACAACATACAACTGACAGACATGTCAGGCAGGATCTTTTACATCCAAACTAATCTGAATAACAAATGTGGCTCTGTACATAAAAGAAACATCAGCTATGTGTTAGTGGATGTAAAATTTTATCAAACCATCAAACACTGATGGATTCACCATCTGTTCCAAAACCTAAGTGGTTTACAGGAATAGCCTCCATCCACATACCAATCTCATTCAGAGGAAAGCTCCCCCCTGAGGCCATGCTGATGTAAACAAAGGCAAAAGTTCTGTTCAGATTTACAGACAAGAGTCCTGGAATTAAAAGCAATGCTACTGTTGTTCCTCAACTTTCTGACGTCTCAGTTTTCGACCTGCTCTCAAACAAACAAATGAGCCAGGATGAAAACAACAAACAAGATGAATGTGTACATTCAGTTCATCTACAAGCTTTGTCGTCATATAGACAAATCTGTACAATGGAAGAGAGCAGATTTAAAAGTCCAATTATAGTTAAAAACAGATGTGACACAATTCAACACCGGTCTGTAACCACAGGATGAAAGTGAAAAACTGAGACAAATTGCATCTAAATGAATATAACTTTTCAGTCTATAGTGTTGCTCATATTTTTGGTCATTTGTTCAGAGTGCAAGGAGCAGCACTATAGACTCCAAGTGATGACTATCGAGTGTCTCTCAWGCAGCAGAAGCCGTTTCAACATGGTCACCTGTGGAAGCTACTTCTATAGACCCGCTCTGTGAACAGTGCAGCAACTCAGTGCAATTAAGAACGTAAAAGAAATGTTATAATTTGTCTATAATGTTCTGCAATAATAGACTTTTGTTTAAATGTAAAAATAATAGTATAGATAGCCTCTTCTATTCCAATAGACCTGAACAGGAGAAAGTTCACAAGATAATTTGAGGTACATGTAATTTTCAATCACTGCATATATATTTTATCTTWATGACAACAACGGATCTCAAGGCATCACACATGCTCCCGTTCTTCATAAACACACTCCTTTTAGGTTACTGGAATTATATTGTTATATGTTTTGTTTTTCCTCTTGAAATTTAATAATAGATTTTTGAAATGACTGCAGCAGGAAATGTACAAAAGTATAGCAGCTAGACTATAACGTGATGGCAAGATTTTGACAAACTTCTTTCTATGAACATGTTAAGATGTAAGCATTTTGATAATAATATTCTAAGGTGTTTATTATGTTCTAAAAAAATAATAACTTCCTACATCATGGCTTAGAATAAGGCAGTTAAATGGAATCGCTTAGGAAATATACACCTTCTGTATATAAAATAATCTTTATAGTTGTATTTCTTATAATATATATTCTATGTGAATTATTTTCAATGTTTTCTGTTTCAGCTTGTAGGTTTCCCTCAGAGTGGAGGAAACCACTGGAGGACTAACAGCGACACGGACTGCATCCCAGTAAATCAACATGAACGCGCACATGCAACACAATGTGACATTTGGAGAAACACCACGGCACTCAGCTACATTTTTTTTTACAACCTCTCCTGAAGTAGTGAAGCCCTGAAGCAGGCTTTGCCCCGCGCTTTTTTTTTTTCCCGTGGCACATTACGTAATGTGAGCGTGCCCTCCCAAAGGGCACCGAGCTGCACCCGAGCCCTGACATCAAGGCAAATTATCAGGCGACATCCCACCGACTGGGACCCTGTCAGGCTCATGCGGTCCATAAATGAGGCTGGGGGTGGGGGGGTCTATATTTTCCGTTGCAGCATGTGTGCAGCTGACCATAGCACGGGAGAAAAAAAAATCCAAACATTTAATGAGCTACAGCCACAGAGTAAGGTACCAGGGGATCGTTGCGCGCAAATTGCGCACAAAATGTGCCAACGTTCAGATAAAGTGAATCCACCCGTTTTCCCATTCCCGAGGTGGAGACATCTTCAACTGATGGCGTCGCACTTTGTAGTTGTTCCCATTGTTATTGTCCCAGAATTCCTTCCCCCCAACACAGTATTTAATAGCGAACTGCAAAGTGCCCCCGTTGTCAAGGTAGGTGGGCATAACAATCTTGAAACAAAATTTATCAGTGTCCCCGTTGCTGGAGTTGGGGACATATGTGGCCAAACTGTCCATAAATGTTATCCAGTTGTTCAGGGAGTACCGCAACGAGACGCTCTTCTCGAACGCCAGGTTCAAGACGCGCACGAAGCCGGAGAGGCTGAATTCGTCCGTTTCCACCGTCTCCAAAAGCACTTTCACCTCTCGGATTTTCTGCTCAAAGCCTGGGAGCGTGCCTGGATTCGTGAACTGCAGTTCCATGAACACAGACTGTGAAGGAGCCCGAGGGAACTTTGTATTCAGGTGATGGAGAGTCCCCTTGGGTAATTTCGCCAGTATGCGCTCCGGCACCTCCGGATCGTCTGCTTCATCAAAGTGCTTCACGGAGATGAGCTCCAGACCCAGCGAGTCCGCGAACCGGACCTTTTTCTGACTGGTCGGACTTCTGCTGCGAGCGATCTCCAACTTGGCTCTCTCTGAAGGTGTCGGGAGCGATTTGCATCTTCGGCGGAGGTTCGGACTCTGTGGCGTCTTCAGAAAAATCTCCCTGCCGCGGGGCCTCTCGTCCACTACGGGGCTCTCCATGGGTTCACAGGAGCCGTTCACCACGTCCAAGTCCTCCCCATCTTCGAGCCTCGGGTTGGCCGCCGTCAGGCTCCCGAACAGCCCGGCGATGCAGCTGTAGTTCCGCGGCAGGCAGTTCTTTGGAGGCAGCATGGCCGCGTCGGGGCGCGCACACTCCGGTTCTCTGAAGCACGCCACAGCTCCTGCACTGCGGAGCCGAGGCGGTCGTGATGAAGCAGACCTGCGAGTCAGGACATGGAGCCTTCAGGTGGCAGTGTCTCTMTCCGGGATAGGTGCTCCTATTGCGTCAGAGGCTGACACTCCTTCGCCCTGGACCAAYGATGCGAGCGGTTGTTGATCAGCAGCTGAAATCAAGGTTGTTGCTGCGGATAGGTCACAGTAAACACACAGATTCACCTCCTTTTATTGGRTTTTGAAGAATAAAGCCCCCCAGCAGCCTCTCATCCTTCTCACGTCCGCCTTCCTGGGCGTTTTGACGTCTGCAGTCTACGTGCAGAAGTCWGCGTTGCAACAAACCAAAATGGTTTCCTCCGTTTTTTTTTCAGCGATGCGCCGGTTAAACTTCCTCTTTCTCATTTACATTCAAGCTCGCGCGATATAAATAAACACATGTCTATATTAATTGCACGACACGAGCGTCTGTGACGTTGAGTTAGTGCCGAAACGAAAAACCCACTAAATTTGTGCGTAACTRTTGTTTCTTAATAACCAGTTTTACGCACACTGTCATTCATTTGAGCAGCCCGTCAGTGTATATTTCCATGAAACCTCTGGGTATCTGCTACGTGCACACCTCCCATTTTCTCTACGTCACTCACGTGCCGCTTCCCCCTCAGAGGTTGCCATGGCGACAGCGTTACAGCCGCACGCTCTCTGAATGCATTCACAATCATTGCCGTCACAGTTTTTTTTTTTTTTTTGGGGAAATTATCCGTTTTGTGAGTGGTTGGTGATTCCGAATGCTGTACGAATTCAGYGTGAATCATTTAGGTAAGTTTGTAAAGCTTTGTGCTCAACTTTCTTCTCATTTAAAGCCAAACTTCACTCACTGTCCTCCTTCTCAACAGGAGCTGAAAGGACAACATGTTAAGTCAGCAAGACGGTGGTGAGACCGAAGGTGGTGAGACAGAAGGTGGGGAGACAGCTGCGAACAGAGAGGACTGGCAGCTGTCACCACAGGAAACAGCAGAGCCAAAAGAGACACCGTGTCGCCATGTTGACGCCCTCCTGCACATCAGTGAGGAGAACTTCATGAAAGAGCTGGAGCCGCATGAGTATCAAGGTTACTCTGGTTGGGAAGATGCTGTAAGTGAATCACCTCTCTGCTAAGTTTTTTTCCCCTGCTTGTCTTTATTTAGGTTGGTTGTGCCAGCAGCACATGATGATTCTTACAGAGCAAGTTACAAATTTGTGAGAAAATATTGTTATAGTGGTGCTCTGAAGTTTGTGTAGTTAATGYTTAAAACAATCGTTCAAGCTGATGCCCAGTGTTTTGTTTTGTTCATAATTAGGCAAACGTTTTCCTGACTTCCACAAAAATTGCATTCATAATTAGTCAYGCAAACAGGGCAGTGCACCAACATTAGTTGGTCATCAAATTTTTGTCACATTTAGTTAATTGCATTTTTTCGTCCTGTGCAGAAAAATAGCAACCAGGGCTGGCCCATGGCATGGGCATTTAGTCTGTAGGATAATCACTGTATTACTCCGGTTTATGAAGGTAACCAGTGGTGGGCAGCACTGATCTAAATATTAGTTGCACTATCCCTAAAGCACTAACTCAAATATTTAGGTCCCCTAATTCTAAAGCACTGACGTACTGAAAGATTTAGCAAAAGCTAATTCTAAAGCACTGATATGATCCAGTTGACAGTATTTACTGTGTGCAGAATATTGTTATTTAGTGCTCTTGCCCGGCCAAAATGGAGTCACCCGCAGGTCACATTTGGCTCGTGGGCCTCGAGTTTGACACATGACCTTGTAGATATGTGACACACATATGAAAGAAATCTATGACAGCTTTCACCTTCAACTGTGAACAATAATGTTGATCAATAACATTTAAAGACCTCAGTGCTTCTAAATTTAGCCCATAAATTTAGCAAGTGCTAATCCACCAATGAATTTTAAAAATAGCTAAAGCCGTAAAGCACTAATCAGGAAATTACTTCCCCTATTAGTGCTTTAGGGGAACTGTGCCCACCACTGAAGATAACTTGTTTTGTGGGTTTCTCAACTTTGTTACTACAGGCTTTATGGTGCAGAGGATATTTTGTAATAAAAGTATCATATGATGCAGTCAAGACTAATTATAGTGTTCAGTGTATTAGAAAAAAATAAGTATAATGGAATTTTCATGAAACTTCCATTATTATTCTTATGTTCTCGGGTAAAGTTCATGTCCAAGCCTGTTTTTCAGTGTTGTACCTTCACAAAAATWCTGATTTTATACTGTTGTATTTGTGGCGGGCGCRGTGTGATAAYTGGCAACTTMAATKCAAAAGCACTATTTTAGTAAAGATAAAATTGGTTATAATGACTCCACTTTAAAAAAGTTACCTTAARGCACRCAGACCCGCTTACAGATGWGGCTTGAGACAATCTCACAATTCCATAAGTTTATTTATTACACCATGATTTTAATTCAAAAATACTAGCTTAAAACCACTCACACATTAAAAGTCAGTTCTGGCTCAACTCAGGGAGGAGTGAAATTCRGGGTAGTGTCCTAAAAAGAAGAGAAACACAGCAAACAAAAGAAAATCGTGCACCAAACCAGAAGGAGTACCACCACCCACACCAGGAGCTGGCCACTGCCCTGTCACAAATACAAAAAAACAAATTAAGAAACAGACAACATTCAATTAAAAGATGTTAAATAAATAATTAAATATATATATATCTATATATATATAGATATATATATATGGTAAAAATTCAGATGTCTCAGTTCGGTGGCAGGTAGCCAAGCAGCAGTAGACTTTGGGTGTGAATTAATGTTCCATCCAGGAGCTGTGAGGAACCCACAGAATCACTTTGAGCTGAGCGTCGCTAAGCCAGTCAGGGCAGAATGACGACCAGCAGGAGCCGATGAAGGTCTAACACAGCAACAGGTAAGAAGCCAGCCAAAGAACCACACGGCATAGATAGGAAACCGGAAGTGAACAAATAGGGCCTCCTGCAGAACACCGGCAAAGGACAAACAGCAGCGTTTGGTRCAGAACAAACATTAAGAAATTAAATTTGTGTAATTGAGAGACTAATAAGACGAACATTGCACTCACCACTGAGCCTAAAGTGTAGCTCCTGTAAAGGAGGAGGAATCAGGTAGACTCATTCTGGTAGCCTATTAAAACAGAAGCTAAGTTAAAGCTAGGCTACAAACAAAACACCCAGGAAGTAGAAGCACCCCTTACCATAAAAAGGATCAAGGGTCGTTAAACGCACGCTTCATGCACCCACTAGCCTGGGGCTAGCGTGCAGCACCCGCAACCACGGTAGTCTGAACCGGGAGGCAAACATGTCACACAGGTAGAGGGAGCGCCCTTTATATACAGGCAGCCAGCGCCACAACCAATTAGATGCAGGCACTTGTGTGGTGCGTTCAAAGCCTACAGGGCATACTGCCACATATTATACTGAAGAATTTAGCAAAATGCTGTCCTGATGCATCTAGGTAATCTAGGTAGAAAAATCAAAAAGAAAAAAATTAAATAGATTCTCTGGACGGGTTCTTCTTTCGTTTCGTCTCTCCTCCAAGAGACTTCTTCAGTCTGAGGAGTTTCAGGTGAACTCAGCCTTATAAGCACTGCTTCCATATGATGGACAAAAAGGTTGTTCCGATGCAAAAGAGGACTTATTGTAGAGGGTGCACCATAACCTGACTATCGTTGGGGCCCTGATTCACACCTTTTGCTCACAGGGGGCTGAGTCATATATTTGCAATAACAGCATTGTATGAGGGGGACTGGACACGAAGGCCTCCACCTCTGCTTAACGGCGGATGGTTTTTCTTCACAAAATGTTCCTCTCTATCAAAGATGAAAACATCTTCATCCCTAAAAGAGTGACCGCTGGCCTGTAGATGAATGTAAACTGCAGAGTCCTGACCCAACGAAGTAGCTCGTCTGAGCTGGCTCATTCTTTTGAACAGTGGCTGTTTTGTTTCCCCAATGTATAACTGATCACAGTCCTCCTGACACTTAACAGCATCTGTTTGTGCCGGGGGACTGGATCTTTGGGGTGAACCAGTCTTTGCCGTAATGAGTTTTGGGGTTTGAAAGCCACTGGGATGTCATGTTCAGAGAATAAACGTCTCATTTTCTCTGAAACTCCTGCAACATAYGGAATGACCACTGGTCTGGGTTTGGGGTATTTATTTTTTCCTAAAGAAGAACCCGTCCAGAAGACCTACTGTACTTGATTTTTTCTTTTTGATTAGTAAAATGCTCTTCAAATAGCTGCAAAATGCACAGTTTTGAGTGGATCTTTTAAGAGAAGTATATCCTGGACCCCCCTAAAACTGTGTCACTCCACAACTGATCGTTAACATGAGCAGGTGTTCCTCATTGTTGGCAGATATGAGGTGAAATTCTGGTATTCTGTTTCAAATAAATTATATTGTTAACTATTTTAATTGGACAGGGTGTTTTTTAAAGATAACAAATAATAGATAAAACTATTTAATTTGGTATGCGATTGTATGTAAATTGGGAGTGAGGCATAGAAAACTGCACAAGGGGTGCCACTTGAACTCTTGCCTAGGGCGACAAATTGGTTAGGTAGCACTTATACCAACCATTTCTCTTCTACATTATTTTTCTGGTAGGCTAGGCTTTATAATACTAAAACCTGGGTCATGGCTTACTAAAAACTAATTATGTTTTTAATTGCCTCTATGATTTTTATACTTCAGCATGCTTACTGCATAAGTTGCCAGTCAGAAAAAGTAATTTACTTTATTGTGATTTTATTCTTGGCATATTAATCTGTTTAACATTATTATTATTTTAAACAGGTATGTGGTTGGACCAGAGTTGCTCCACTGAGCTGCCTCCTCGTGACTAAGATGAACCACAGGCAACCAAAGCATAAGGAGGTGGAAAATCCGAGCCCTTTGTGTGTGGACTCAATGGGTCCCAAAGCTGACAGCTCAGCCAGCATTGCAGAGCAGCACAGGGAGTCTCATAATGGCCTGTGTACGTGTAAGAAATCTGTGTTAGCAAATAAGCAAAAAGACACTTGGGGTCCAACGGAATGGCCTGTCCTGAATGCCATGCAGGAAGACGAGACACATTTCCTTCTTAAGGAAAAAACAGTGGAGAGGCCATTTAAAAACACACCTCTGAGGCCTTGCCATCCGTCTTCACAACACTCTGTGCCAGAAAACAGACACACTAAGCCCCAGACGCACAGCCACAAGTCCAGTAATGAAGTGGTTCCCATTAAGAAACTCACATCTTTACCACCTCTCCAACCACCACAGATCAATCCCAAGAGCAGCTGCCATGTCTGCAGAAGCAAGAAGGCTCTAGATGGAGAAAACCTTGACTGGAAAAGTGCAGCCAGGTGGACAGGAGGGAACATTGTTGCAAACCAAGATCCTTCCATCCACTCTGCAGCCCTGACCCCTAAATACCATACGTGTCAACACAACCCTCATTTGTTCTCGGCTCTAAGTGTTTCTCTCCCCAAGAAGAACCAATTACTTAGGTCTCTGCCTGACACAGTGCACCCCACGAGGTATTCATTGRACAAGAGCATCTCACAAGCTGTGGTGCAACCGCGTATGCCTTCCAGGTGTCTCTTCTCCTGAGCACAAGACTGYATGTGCTATGAAGCCATGCAGCCCTTTGGATAAATGTTCATCATGAACAAAGACGACATTCAATAAATTCAGCTTTCAGCATTTCATCAAGGTTTACTTTGTGATGTCCTAGCATTGCTTCTTTTCACATGTTGTCCTTTTCAGCGGCTAATGATGACTTATGTGTACTGTGACTGTATTTTATTTGCATAAAGGGTTTTCAGACACAGGATATTAAGTGTTTGTACTGCAGAGTGCAGTATCTCTGCATTAAGCAGACATAAAGTGATGGTGATCATCAGTTAAATGCTTCCTCAAAGCTTTGACATGTAGCCTAAAATATAACCTGTGAACAGAGTTGATCAGAACTCCAAATATAATTGAGCTTAAAGGTTTAACACAAAAATGCAAGAACGATTATTGTACTACTTGAATTTGTAAATGCTTATGTTGTTTCTGAGAAATGCATGTAAAAGTTTAAGCATCCCAAGACATTCAATCTCTCGTTAGGCTCTGTATATCTCGCCAGGTCTCTTTCACAGTACTGCCTGTTACGTTGAATGTTGCCAACAAACTGGAAACAAAAGCATAGCATGGCTTCATTTTTCCTTTTTTATATAACTGATAAATGTCAATTATCAAAAACAATTAGGATAATGTTACAGTTGGAAGACCAGGAACTGCTAGCATTTAGCTATTTCTGAAGTCACAGTGAGCAGTTTATATTCATAAAACCTGCTCATATGTAAACCTARTGGAAGTAACATCAGTCGGAAACTTGTCAGATATCCTCAACACTTAAAATAAAATAAAAAAAAATAATAAATAAGCTTTGGACTTCTTAGAATCCCTACACTGTCTCAACAGTAGTATTTTATAGGCAGTGGTAGYGGGCAGCACTAATCTAAAATTAGTTCCACTAGTCCTAATTTAAATATTTCGGTCCCCAAATTTTAAAGCACTAACGCACTGAAAAATTTAGCAAAAGCTAATTCTAAAGCACTAAAATAACCCAKTCAACCCATGAACATTCTTCAACAGACAACATGAGGCACATATTGACATGTTGCTCTCTTAAGACTTATCATTGACATTCCACAGCTTTATTTAGGTTCATAGATTGTCAATATGTCACCTAGTGGATAAGTGACAACATATGAATAAAATGTGACAGCTTTCCTCCTCAGCTGTTAACATTAACATTGATCAATAACATTTAAATACCTCAGTTAGTACTTCTAAATTTAGCCTATAAATTTAGCAAGTGCTAATCCACTAATAAATTCTAAAATTAGCAAAAGCCCTAAAGCACTAATCAGGAAATTAGTTCCCCTATTAGTGCTTTAGGGGAACTGTGCCCAACGCTGCCTATAAGAATAGTTCTGTTGGAGAAATAAAAATAAGCCATTTATTTAATTAAATGACTAAACATGAAAAATGAAAATGCTGAGTTTAGTGCGGTGTACAATTACAAATCTCACTAATGCTTTCAACAATAGAAAATAGGAGGGCACATTAAAATGTGAAGCTTCACATTTACAGTATATACATATAAGGGTTAACCTTTTTTTCCTTCCTGACCTCCATCCCACAAATGGTCTTGCAGCTGTGCTTGTTCCTTAGCAACAATACAGCTACCTTATAAGTGCTGCTCTGTTCCTGCTTTACAGCCTGATGTAGGAATTTAAATGCCTCTCCAGACTTCAGTACTTTACCTTCTCTATAAAGTTGCTGATTTTTATTAGATGTCTCTGGGAGATTGAGGAAGCAGCCCAGACCACGCAGTGCTTATGGCGAACCAAACACAGACCATGTTAGTTTTCAAACTGCAGTCAGTTTAAACTAAAATCATATGATTGCATGGGTTTTTATGCAAATGTATTTTAGAAAATAAAACCCTTTTGACTGAAATTTTTAATTTTTTAGGTTAACTTAAAACAGATAGAATGCATGATTTAGTATGTGCAGTAACATCAAAACAGTTTATTTTCAGGTCCTGGCTTCTATTTTTAGTACAAATAAAGACGTGAACATTAAAAGCATTGTACRGTCTTCTATGCTTCAATCCCTTAGTTTTTGTACTCTGGTCGTTTTTACCTTATTTCTGAAAACTATGAAGTAGAACCTTTTGTTCTTAACTAACGCAAATGTTAAATTTATTGTTTTTGTAAGAAAYGATAAAGAAGCCAAAAACACTTCATAGCATTTTATTGACATATGTAGCTCCAACAAATAATCAAGGCAACTGTTAAATCTATGCATACAGGCAACTAAAAGTAAATTCTGCTAAACAAATGTGCATGCACTTGCTCACTGGGAGGGGGAAAACATACTGTTAAATAACAATTAAGACCAACAAAACCTTCACATTTTTGCTTGAAAGGCTTTTAACTGTTAAACTAAACCTGCAAGAAGCAGCAATGTCTAGAATTAAATTCTAGAAGTGAAACTCTCAAAGCAATAAGCATTAGTTTGTGTTGTCTAAAAAACTTGCAGTAAGGAAAATATCCTTTAACAAATTGGATACGGTGAAAAAAGCTGAGCATATGGACACTGCAATTTCTGTACATTCTTCAACTTTCACAAATCTTTAACAGAATGTAACTACATTTACATAAAAGTAATGAGATAGAACCAACAAGATTCTAACAATATGATGCATAGCAATCACTTCATGTGACAGAAAACAAACATTTCCACAGAAAATGTATAAAAACAAGGAAAAGTCCAGCTTATCATGCAACCATGTTGAAAACACCAGGACAAAACTGATTAAACATGCAACATAAGAACAAAATGGGTTGTATCTTTTCTTCAGAATTCATTAAAAAAACATTTTCGAGAATAAAAAAATCTTCAAGCAGCAACTTATTTCAAATAGAACTAAAGTTAATACTTGGAATAAGGCACCAATAAAACAAAAACAAATAAACAAGGCTCTTGGCTAGTTTATATGTGATGCCTTTGAGGTAACTGAATTCCAACGGTTTAACAGAAAAATGTCAAATTTAGCCAGTTGGAAAGGGGGAAAAAACATTGGGTATTCCTAAGTTAAATACAAGATAAAGTAGTGAATGCATGGAGTAACAGAGCTAATCCTACCCCTGTTACTAAGTTGTGACAAAACATTGCCAATTCATTCAGCACAGGTTGCTGCTACAGTATACAGTTACACACAGCTAATAAATAAGTAAAAGTCATTGATAGCCAAGACTGCTTACTGACTTGGATGGAAAAACGAAAAGCAAAAAACAAAAAACGAACAAAAAAACAATACTTTTTTGTCACCATAAGAAATTTCACAATCACATTTAAATGAAAGCTGTGCAAAAACAGTTTTTCTTGTGCCACAAATGTATGTCTATTTCTAAAGTTCAGATACATCATAATGATTTTGAGCAATAGCTCGTTATATTTTCAACAGCTTAGTTTGGAAAAACTTACTCACACTCACATGAAAAGACTGCTGGAGCTTATTCTGAGTTTAACGGCTTTTTGAACACTAAAGAGACAGCCATCACATGCACAGGCACAGATCGTAAAGAATCCTTGCACATTTGTTTTTATGTACACAAATTGTACAATATGGTTGACTGTACAACTGAGATGCAATAAATAAATAAAACAATTTTTAACTGGCTAAAAACATTTTACAACTGAACTGCAAGTAAGACCAAACTGCATTATACACCAAAATATACATGTGGCATTTCAGACAAGACACATACACTGTTATTTTGTGTGCAAATAAATATGTAAACGGTTACAGGAGCTAATAAATCATGCCCACTGAGCTAATAAAGTGCAGCAAAGCTGTCAGGATAGATACTTAGAAACGTTCTGGACGTTACACCCCAGTGGAATGGTCAAAGGGACAGTTGGCGAGGAAAAATTCACTGAGACTTTCAGCTGTTGGGTTTGTCAGGTTGCTGAAAGAGAGCACAAAGCTCCTCACACGTCTGGGTTTCCACAGAGCTAAAATGTGACTCCATATTCCACGCAAGGTCTGCTGACAAGAAGTCATCCATGACAGTTTGTGTTTCGTTGCTGGTAAGGAAAAGTTGTCCCAGGCCTTCTGCCTGGCTGGTTACAGTCTGGGTTTCTGTGCTGCTCAGCATCCTTGCAGGCTCACCTTGTCCTACATTTGTGTGTGAGGAAGGACCCGTGGCAAATGAAGGGATATCCGTCTGTGTTTCAGTATCTGAGGACTCTGTGCTAATTGAAAAGCTTGAATGTCGCAGGATGCTCAAGGGCATGCCACTTCCAGCGTTTAGTAGGAAATTGAGGTCAGTCTGAGTTTGAGTGTCAAATAGCTCGAGATCAYTGGATTGAGCCCGACTTTGTCCCTCACTTTGGTCCAGATCATCCATAAGGAAGAAATCAGTCTGTGTCTGAATGTCCAGAGATTCCAGAGGTGTGTCGCCACCCAGCACACCCAGTTCACTCTCCTCAGTCTGTGTTTGAATGTGCACAGCATTGAGGAATTCTTCAAAGTCAAAGTCTATTCCATTGTTCTGCTCCTGAACGGAGTCTGGTCCTGACTCGCAGCCTGCAGAGGCCTCTGTGAGGACTTGGTGTCCTGACATGCTGCTGGACAGAATGTTTTCAAGGTCATTTAACAGGGTCATTGTTTGGGTCTGATTATCTGCCATGTTGTTTGTACTAAGCTCACTTGTCTGCACACTGAAACACATACCACCTACTGATTTAGAGTCTTCATAGATATTTCTTCCTGCAGCACTAAGGCGGTCATTTATATCAGGGGCTGTCTGAGTGGAAACACTAAGAGAGTCATTATCAAATAGATCAGAGCACATAACAGCCTGGTCCTGAGCCCTCTCCTCCAATTGTGGCATGGCAAAATATGTCTGAGTCTGCCTGGTTTTGTATGGGAGCAGAGATGAGGAGGGGCAAGTAATTTGGCTAAGGCATTGGCTGTCTGTCTGAGCTCCAACAGATGATGTGGATTTGGCTTGGGAAAAGAATGTCTGGGTTTCTACACTAACTGGCAGGAGGACTTGGGCACTCACGCTAATGTCTGTTTGGGAACAGGATGAAACTGAAGACTCGCTCATAGAACACAACCCCATTTCCTCTCCAACTCCAACCCCTGTGGGCATTTTTGACATGTGGGATTTGTCCGTCTGAATGTTGGTAGAGGTGCTCCTTTCTTGTGGTCCTGTCATGGTAGAGTCGTCTAAGCTCACAGAGTCCTGACTAACCTGCACTCCTGTGCTAGTGGAACCCTGAATGGAGCGAGAAGCAGGCATACCATTTTCAAAAGCCAAACTTTTTCCATCAAGTTGGGGTACCACTGCTCCCGAGGTCTGTGGCAAGAGCTGAAGGGTGCTGACAGAACCATGGCTATCTACTGCAAGAACTACAGACCTTAAAGTCCCACTTTCTGTAGAGGGAAGGAGGACAGGCAGATGTGCCAACTGCATCACAGGAACGCTGACCAAAGCCATCCTGGGCTTTGGTAGGAGCAACTTCTGAAGACTCCTATGGGGRTTGGAGTTTTGGTTAGCTTGATCTAAAATGTATACAGCCGAATCAGCAGGGTGAGCAGTCTCTGTCAACTTCTTAGCAGCAGGCACAATCTGAACAACTGAATCGTTAACCTTTGCTTTTTCAGAATCACTTAAACGTTTCTCCATCTTTCGCTTTTTTACAGGAGGAACTCTGTAAAGAAACACAACCAAGAAATACAAAAGTGAATACATTTCACCATAAAGAAAATGCAAGAGCTTAATATACAGTATCTACATTTTGTCTACATGCCTGTGTTCCTTTGGAATTTCATGACCTGTTCTGTAGATATGTGACAACAAGGCAGCCCTGCTTGCATAGGGGCAGCCACATGTACACTCATAGGTCTTTCCACAGTCTTCTGTGTGTCTCTTCAGGTCCCACTGTGTACTGTAGCCATTGTTGCACTTAGAGCACTTGTGCTTTTTCTCTGCATGCATCTTCATGTAGTGCTAAAATGACAAATAATAATAAATGTAAATATTTAGCCAAGTCACAAAATGGCWAACACTGACAGATGAAAAGCAAAACGTCCATTACATCACTAAGCAATGTTCTGTTAGAGAACCTTGGATTCTGGCATTCATGCAGATACCACCCACCTACACATTAGTACTGAGCGAGCACTCTCATGGCAACCACACTGGTTGATGGTGTTCACCTTCACTTGTGAGCCTATGTGCCCTGACATGATGCAAAACCTACCAACGCCCAGCATTTAGCTCAGCCAACAAAATCCCAAGTTCAGACTTAATCCACGAAGACCCAACCCCACAACTCAGGACCCCTGTCTTAAGAGTTTCTGATAGATTAAGGAAGACCTACCAAAATATTAGGAAAGCAGTTTTAATGTTATGACTAACTGAAACAATATGAATACAGTAGCACAATTAAAGCACAGCTAGAATATCCAATTTTACTGACTTCAGAGAGCTTAGACCTAAAAAAAAATCTTTATGGAATGTCGTGACACAAAGACAAAATAACAAGTCTTATTTGAGCCTTTCGATTCAATCACATTCAAATTTCATTGTCGAAACTTGCAAATTAATCCTATTAGTTTTGACTTTTACAGACTAATATTTAGTAGTTTGTGTTTTTACTCAAACCTGCTATCTGAGGGGTGACTTGACATTTTTGTTATACAATCTCAAAGTTTTTCTATAATCTATGGTTTAAAATACTTTCCATTTAAACATGCTAAAAGTTTATCTTTGTAGTCTTTCAATGCATCTCAGTTTGGCACAAGTGGTTGAAGACAAACATAAAAGGCCTTTATAAGAAGTACAAACAGGCAAATAAATCACTGTATTTCAATAAAGAAAATGCTTACTTGTTTAACCAGTGAGAACTGTGAGAAAGGTCTGTTAGGCCCTCTTGGACAGCCCTCAATTGGACAGCAATAAAGTTTCTGAGTGCCTTTCATCTCCTTTCTGACCGTGGGATTGACAATACAGTCCTGAAGGTGTCCATGGCAGCAACGATAAAAAGATGACAACAAAACAAAGGCATACAATTTTTAATCATGACAAGTTAACAGTTGTTATATTCATTCCACATCATTTAAGTGTTTTAAGTTTTTTTTTTTAATTCTTGAATTAGGGCTGGGCAATAAAACAATAGCAATGTACAGTATATCATGATAACACTTGTGATCAGTATCAACAGAAAAGAAATTTGATAAAATAGTAATAAGTTCATTGAACTATGATCCAGAACTGCACAGCATTCTGGGGGATGTAGGCAGAGGAAACACTTGACAACTGATGGTCCAGCTAAGCAAGGACAGGGAAAGGTCACGTCACCAGTTTGGTACGATTAATCAGCCTTTCTTCTCCTGGTTTTTATTTCAAATAGGTAAAACAGAAAACTAATCAATAATTATTTATATGAATTGATATGAAACACTTATACCATGATACATTTTTCAGCCATATCGCCCAGACCTATCTTGACGTAGAAACGTTTTACTTTGTGTCATACATATCTAATTTTTGCTGGAATAAACTATGGTCATTTTTGCTAGACAATATTTCCTACTGCAACAGACCTTGCATTGTTTTAAGTCTCCCCTACATAACAGAGACATTTATACAGTTTTTTTATACAAAATTCCTCCTGTATTCCAGTAAAGTAATTTTTGGACTACACAATTCGTGAAAAGCATCATGCAGGAAACCATAAACCTGTATGTGCAAAAGCATTATTTTTTTTTAAGGGGAAATATTTGTTTTATTTTTTTGTGCTTGAAGATCTAAATTATTTATTCAATCTATTTGTAATTGCTTCTCTTGAGTTAACTAGGCTGTTTGAAAATCATTGTAGTAAGCTTTTTGATGAATGCTAATATAACCATTTTTAATCAGAAAACAGCAGCCCTTCAAATGCATTGCATGCATGAAATACTTTAAGTAATTATCTTTAACCAGTCAGGTGTCGCCTGTTTTTAAACACTAAGCCGATTGGAAACATTATACGTTGCTGCAAACTACCATATAGTCACATGATCATATCCTGAAGCCTACTTTATGTCAAAACATTATTTGTAAGCTCCAAGCTGTTGAAAAAGCAAGTTGAGATTCATTGTCCTTGTTACAGCAGAGCTGCTCCACAGCCTTTTACCAGTGATTGCTGTGATCGTTTTTTCCCCCCATCTGAGAAATGGTAGAACACAGCGATAAGTGAGAGTAATGGTCTCTACACCCTGCTTCTACTTGCTGTTAAAGGTTATGGACTGAGATACAGCTAAGAAGCAAGCGAAAACAGTCCCAGTTGTACAAAAGAAGTCTGCCTGACTGTTTGCACAAATGGAAAGGAAAAATGTTCTCCAGTAAGCAATAAGAGGTAAAAAAGAACATGAACTACTGATGTGCAGTGACGTAGTATGATAGTGTTGTAGTGTACGTAACAAATGTAGTGTTTGGCGCCCCTCTCTTGCAACCTGATTTCATTATTAATTCAGAAGTGAAAACCTCAGAGATTTGATAACTTCATCACCAATGGGGAATAATTACCATTACTAACGTTAACTTCAGGGCAGGGCGTTGATCTATCTGTGAAGTTCACCCAAAAATATTTAAATAGCCGGCCTTCTTTTCTCTCTTTATGTTAATGAAAGTTATGAGAATTCTGTATAAAGTGAATGTTAGGGAACATACAAACAAATTTTTTATTCAATCAAACATTTTGAAAC